CAGATCGGATTCGGGACAAGTTCTAAGACCATCCAAGTCCTCCAGCTGTGAGTTAGAGAGCTCTGGAGTCAGCTGACTAAGTTGTGCTATCAACACATCACGCTCCCGCGTACAGCTGCTCAGATCTTGCTGTAGATAGCGCGCCTGATCTCCCTGCACACTCAGCTGTTCTTGTAATCTCTCTTTCTGATCTAATAACTTCTCTAGAATCTATAAATAGAACCATGGATAACAACCAATAAATAATCTAATTATATAAATATTCTCGCATAATGACCCTTGCTTGTACAAGTATCACTAATTTGATAGGTTAATTTGTAAGGAAATCTTAGACTTCTAATCTAATTAATTCACAAAGCAGAAACCACTGATTGAATAGCCAATCAGATTACATCTAAGTTAGTGGTCAGAATTATTAAATAATTACCTGTAAGCTAAACCAATCAATTTCCGTCTTTGCTTACAAATCAGAACTTTAGTAGCCAAATTTAAAATAGGCGCCATATATGAGATATTATCTAATCTACCAATCAAATTCATTCCTCAGAACACACTCCTACTCATGCTAGATATCACATAACATGTTGTAAGTTAAGCAGAAATTAAATAGTATCACATTCCTGAGTGTAATTTGGTTGTTATGCACTTACCTGCTCTAAATGTTGAGGACTTAGAGCTGTCATATCGTGCTCAGGAGAGAGGGAGAGGGTTAGAGTGTTTGAGGGCTCCCAAATTGTGTCCAATTCATCTGTCCCAGGGCCGATGGGGGTGAGGACAGGGGAGGGTGTCGCTGGTTCATTTCTCTGCGGAGAGAGATTGAGAGCGTCCGGTTTCTTGCGTTCCAGTTTGACTGCAGGAGGAGATAGAGATCTGGTCCTGTTTAGTTCGGGAAGTGGCGGTGAATGTTTATTTCTGGAATCTGACATTCTAAAATGTAAATTAATCAGAAACACAGTATTTATACTCAACCAATCAGCGACTAGCTTTAAACTAAGGATTGCAGTAAGCTTTCAAATCCAAATAAATTCAAAATTCAAAAAATACAAAATCTGATTGGTCAGTTAGGCTTAGCAACTGGGGAGAAATGAAGGTTAGCCCGAATTGTGAAGAATTCAGTTCCAGTTCTGCCCGCCGGGTAGTGACAGACGTGATGAGCTGTGTCTTTGATTGGTTCTTCTGTAGCTTGTCCTACAATTATGTAATCATAAAGTAAACAAATAAATATACAACAAGAAATATTTACCGAGTAGCCAGGTCGCGAGAGATTGTTCCGGTTTCAGTTTAAAATATTCGTAGCAATCTTTGTGTAAGAAATATTGTTTATTGTCAATACAGAATGCTTTAGGAACGCTCTTATAAGGTCCCATCGGTTTAGTCGGTAGGAAAAGTACGAAACTTCCTTTCTTAAAATCTGCAACACTAAACCGAGCGCTCGTGGGATCCCTCGCCTCCTCATTTGTCAATTTCCTACCAACCTCTGCCTTCATTTGTTCTAGCATAGAGCTGGGATATCTGTAACAACCAATCAAATTATGAGCTTAAACAACCAATCAAAAATTAATAGTCTTACCTTTGTACACTTCTAGAAAGTTCTCTACAACTGGCGCCTAAAGTAGGCTCCCAATCAGCTGTTTGAAATTCTTCACTCAGCTGATCTTCCAATGGCGGTTCCAATACTCCCAAAGTTCCTTTCAGCCAATCAAGCCATGAGCTACATTCTGCTATCTATACACAATTGAATAGGAACTAAACCTATTAATTAGTTCCATATATCAATGATATCTCAGGAATATTACTATAAACGGGACCGATAGGATCCTTAGCTGGATATTAAATATGAATATTTCACACCTTAGAATTTGCAGAATCGATCACACTTTGTACGATTGGTTTAGCTTCTCTCTCCTTGTCTAGTTGACCAATCAGCTGTTCGTTTTCTACCTTTAATTTGGTGCTAGATTCGATCAGCTGTTTATTTTCTCTTTCAAGTTCTGACAATTTCAGTTGTAAGCGACGTGATTGGTCAGAATTGTCCTGTGTGCTCCCCGGGTTCTGATTGGTCAGTTTAGGTGTCTGAATAATCGCCAGTAAAATAGACTGTAATTTGTCGTTAATTGAATTAATTTTAATTGAGTGAATTTCCTAAAAATAGATTAATAACATTCCATTCTATCAACCCAGCAACCACTGACCTTCATTTCCTTTTCGAGCGCCAAAAGCGCTATTTTCGAGTTCTGAAATTGTGACAGAACTTGACAATTGGAATTCAGTCTGTAATGTATTTGTACACTCATGTCTTGGTGTCTGTTCTCAATATTCATTCTGATTGTCTTAGCTCTGGCCAGCTGTTCTGCCACCTGTAATCTCTTAAGAGCTCTACACTCTCCTAGTAACGGTCTACAAACATAGGAATGTTAGAACATTGCTACTAATGAACACAATCAGCTGACCTGATAATATCTCTGACGGAGAGAGGCGGAGCTCTCTCCGTGTCGGACATTAGAGCTCCGTGTCTCCTGATAACATCAGCGTCTATTTCTGCAATTGAATCCTCCAAATGTGTCCTAATTGATTCCAGTTCTGCTGCCATCTCTCTGAAACTAACACATTCCTCTCCGTAACTAAGATTAAGAGAATCTGTGTAGCTAGTCAGCTGATTGGTTAGATAAGTAATCCTCATTCTGAGGGGATTTAACTCCTCATTCAGTTTAACTCTCATATTTTTGTGTCTCTCCTTCGCCCCCAGGGCATACTGAATATAGGCGCTAAGTCCTGACACCTAAGATAATTATAAACACAGATATTTGATTGGTTACTGAACTCGCCTGTGAATCAGCTGTTAGGTCTATATCCTTGACAAGCTTAGAGAATATTTGAGGGATAAATTCTATGTTATCTCTCGTCCGAACTTCTTCTATCCTTTCTGGAGATTTAAGGAATTCTGTCAGCTCCTCGTAGGCCAGGAGGGGAAGGAGAGGAGGGTCCATCTGTGAGAGAATTGATTGGTCCAGCAGAAATAGTTTGGGATCTTTACCGGAACTTCCGAACTGCTGAGACTTTGAAAAGTTTACAAAACGCTAAAATTAGAATAAATTTATTCACTAATCCATGGTTACATAATACAAACTAACGTCTAAGTCTGATTGGTCAGTAATTGTAGATTCTGCCTGTAATGTGTCTCTTATTATTACAATATTATCCAATTGGATATTAAAGTCTGTGTGTATAACAATCCTAAGCTCTGAGAGGAGTAGAGGACCATCTCCGTAAGGGATCTTACTCTCCAGACCGGAGTGTACAGACACTAACCGAATCTTAGTCTGTACAAGATCGTCAACAGTCTAATTAGACCAATATAACAAATCTCAAATCTCCTTATAATTCAAATTTATACAAAATTGTTATTCAAGAAAATTTATGGCAGAATTCTCCACTAATAAAGACGCTAAGAATTGGCTCTGTATTATAATTACAAACCTCGAAGAATGCGTCATACGTAATTCTATTAGTTGCTTCTACAACTAAACACCTCTTAATTAACCACGTCATTCTATCCTTGAATACAGGTGTTAGAATATCATCTACTTCAGGGGGAAGCTCTCTAACATAAGTTGTCTTCCTGGAATGGCGCGTAAATGCAATGGCATCTCCTAACAATAATAATTAAGTAAATTCCATTGAATAGTTATATAGCAACGCACCTTTTGCCTTAAGAATTCTAAGAATATCTTGTATAGGAGCAAAGAACCCACACTTCCCTACTAGTACCCTGTAGAGGAGAGCTCCTACTGACCAGATGTCTACCGTATGGTCATATGATCCTCCAGGATACATCACACAATACAGAGCTTCAGGCGCCATAAATACAGGGGTACCCGCTAGGGATTCCATATCGATATTTCTGTTAGCGAACTCTCCCGTATTCTCCTTGTAGAACCTGGAATAACCGAAATCTGCCAATCTAATGTCCCACTCATTGGTCTGTTCCTGGCCCCTTGTCCTCCTATCTGCCCCTGGGAACTTAAGGAGGATATTCTGAGGCTTCAGGTCTCTGTGTACAATACTGAGGTTATGCATAGCCCTAATACCTATGCTCAGCTGTTTCAGGAATCTATAAATAGATGAATGAACTTAAGAAATGTATAAATTAATTATTTATACTTCTCACCTCCTGAATTGTTTCTCAGTTATTTCATTCTTTTTTAAATATTCTTCCAAATCGCAGTCACATATTTCCATAACCAGAACCATCCCAAGCCCTTTCTGTTCCTCTACTTGCATCAGACGAACCACAAACTCACAACTTATTAATTCCTAAATACATTCCTTTAAAATATGATTAATGAGTCTATAAATAGAATCCTCACTTCCATTATTTTAATCTCCCGTTTCAGATTTGTGTAAACTTTGTGCTCTTTTTTGTAGAAATCTTCCTTGACAACCTTTACGGCTACTTGGAATGATTCATGATCGCTATAACCAAGGAAAACTTCTCCAAATGCGCCTTTTCCTAAACGAGTGGTTGAGCTTTGGTGCCAGGAAAAATCTCCAGAACCTTTAAACTCTGCCGGGTTCTGTTTGTGGAGTTCCTTTAGTGCCATAATATGCATTCTTTTACCAAGCATTGTTGCTAAGAAGATGGGACAAATGTATAACATAACTATATTAATATTTCCCCGCGGATTACGAGCGGTGAATAGGGTAGCGCACAAGGGGATCAGACATTTATAATAGTGGGTAAATGGATCAGTTAGAGTTAGCAGAATTGTGAAAATATATATTAATAGTTTGTATTAGTTATAACTAGAAATTAAATATTTGTAACATTAATATAAAGATATACTAAAGACAGTGATCATGTAAGTAATGGATGGATTCTATTCCGCAATTATAAGATAGTAGACATGCCAAATTTGGTGTCGCAATCTTTGAAGATAGACAACGATTATAGAAATAGAGACTATTATATGTAAGAGCATTAGTGAAAAAGATTATTAGATGTCAGGATGGCCGAGTGGTCTAAGGCGCCAGACTCAAGGTTACCTTACTCTTAGGGAGTTTTCTGGTCCACGTATGTGGGCGTGGGTTCGAATCCCACTTCTGACATAAACTTTTTGGAGAAATTAAGAACGAATCTCCAGGATATTACAGAAAGAAATAATTAAATAGCAAAGCTATATATCACTAAACTTATTGGAATAATTGATGTGCTCAGTGATTAAGGTTTAGCCCATTACTAAAAAATATGAGAACATTTGTTATTAAAGTGTAATGATTATTACAAGAGTTTGTATTATAAATAATTGCATAAAATAATGAAGAAATTTGTGGTAGTGTCTCAGGGATGTTGATTCGTAACTTAGCTGTGAGGAGACATGACTAGGACTTCGTATCTTTCAACTCCATCACGAGAGTTGAAGGTAGCTAGCAAATGCAGCAATTAACCGAGTGAGTCCAGAGCAATGTAGAAGTAGAATATGCGAGGAAGAAAGGAGAAGATTAAATGTTAATCTTTATACTCAATTGTGATGGTATATATACTTGTTGGTAGGTCCAGGCGTCACAACATGTTTATAATTAACTGTACTATTTCGTTAGTTACAACCTGCCACAACAGAAATGTTTGTAATGCCTACACCACCTGCATTAGTAAAAAGAGTATAAATACAAAGAATATATTTCATTCTGAATGTTTCGTCTATTTTTCTTTCGGTTGGCCCAACTCTTCGTTCTCAAATCATCCCTCACTTCTGCACAATTTTCTAGTACCATTCTCTCAATTCGTCACTCACCTCTACTCAAATGTATAAAAGATTTCACTCAATTCGTCACTAACCTCTGCTCAATTTTCGTACAGAATCTCTCATTTCTTTCCTCACCTCTGCTCGATTTTCTGATAGAATTCTCTCATTACTTCCCTCACCTTTGCTCGATTTTCTGATAGAATTCTCTCATTACTTCCCTCACCTCTGCTCAATTTTCGGATAGAGTTCTCTCGAAATGTCAATCAGCTCAGACCTACCAAATATAAATTCCTATCTAACTCAACCTAGAAACGTTGGACATGCTGAAGAAGTGATTGGAATTACAATTATTGCGTATGTTGATTGATTCTTATAATTGTAAAGAGCCTAGAATTATGATTTGGATATTTGAAATATTA